TTCCCCTTCGCCATGGAGTCCCAAACTGGCGCCAACTAACGGTAGATTGGGCCGGGTAAGACCAATTCGACTTTGTCAGCATGTGATATGTCTGTAATTGAATGTATTTGCTGCGAACTGCTGGGCACGCTTGATTTCTATGTGCTATTGGTGAGAAAACGAGGTTATACCCCGGTCAATTTATTCTTGTTAGGCCCGTACAAGCGCGAACCGCTAGGCGTATGGGCACCGGTATCGCGCGATAACACTGGGTGTGGGAACTCTTTGCCTCTAGCATCGGTTGCGTAAGGACCGGCATTCCCCCCGAAATAAAATGCAAGGCATTTCTCCACCGCCCAGCGCATTCGCTGGAGTTACGTAAAGAAAAGAATGTAGATAATCAGTGCCGGAAGCCGGTATTTAACATTCATGCTTCACTTCTTATCAATCTGTCCGTCCCATGCGGAGTTCAAGGCCTAAGCAGCAATGGCAATCATGAAAAGATTCCACTCGATCGTCGGTGAAAAGCCTGCCCGCGAGGCTGAGGGCACTTCGGTCGATGACCCAAATGTTCTGCAGATCAGAGCCGACGATAAGGAGGCTGCTCATGCTCCCGTCAATGAAGTGACCAGTCGTGAGGAGGCCAAGCCGAGTGACGGAGCCCAAGCTGGTGTCCAGAAGATAGAGGCTGTGACCCTGAGTTGGACAAGGGGTACGGCGTTCGCAGTTTTAGTACTGTATGTTTCGCTACTATTGCTGCATGTACCAATCGGAAGATCAAGCTGCTAACATGGCTTTCATCTGATAGCATTTGGTTCCTCACGCTGGTCAACGATTTCAGGGCCTCCATCGCTGTAAGCTTGGATGCTTATGCCACGAGTTCTTTCCAAGGCCACTCGCTGTTGACCGTCATCACCATTGTGGCATATGTTATGGCTGGTTCAGTGTACATACCTATGGCCAAGGCGCTAGATCTTTGGGGCCGTGCAGAGGGTTTCCTTCTGATGACTTTCTTCTGTATTCTGGGCTTGATACTTCGGGCTTCATCCCAGAATCTCGCCACCTATTGTGCCGGACAGGTAAGATATGCCAACCACTGATCTCATCATTAGAACTGCCTAACAGCTAGACTGGCTCTAGGTATTCTACAAGGTCGGATTTGGTGGACTTTCCTACACCTGGAATGTCCTTGCAGCCGATGTGACGAATCTACGAAACCGAGGTCTAGCGTTTGCCTTCACCTCGTCCCCTGCTTTGATCTCCGCGTTCGCTGGTTCCAAGGCTGCGTCGGATCTCCTTGCCAATTCGAGTTGGCGATGGGGCTTTGGCATGTGGGCAGTAATCTTGCCGGCAGTTGCTCTGCCAATATATGCCATTTTGGCTTACCACCTACGCCAAGCCGAGAAAAGGGGTATACTCGTCAAGGAGACGAAAAATTGGAGTATCACCCCGAAGACGATTTGGTGGGCCATTATGGAATTCGATTGTAAGTAACAACAGGGGCGGTCGCCTCGGGAAGTCCCCTGCAGAAGGCTAATGATCTTATGAACTCACCTAGTGCCCGGAGTTCTTCTGTTCGCTGGCGGCTTTGTCATATTCCTTCTCCCCTTTACTTTGGCGGCTACGGCGCCCCATGGTTATCAGACCAGCTATATCATTGCAATGCTTACGCTCGGCCTGGTCCTAATCATTGCTTTCGGACTCTACGAAACCTTTGTGGCGCCCGTGCCATTCCTGAACTATAAATTCCTCATTGACCGGACCGTGCTGGGCGCATGTCTGCTGGATATGACGTACCAGATTTCTTACTACTGCTATGCCAGCTATCTCCCGTCTTTCTTGCAAGTTGTGTACGAGTTGGACGTCGCCACGGCAGGATATGTGACCAACACTTTCAGTGTGGTGTCCTTTGTCTTCTTGTTCCTCGCTGGTTGGCTGATCCGCTGGACCGGTCGTTTCAAGTGGATCCTTTGGATCTGCGTTCCGCTCTATATCCTCGGCCTTGGTCTGATGATTCACTTCCGTCAACCGGGCGGATATATTGGGTACGTAGTTATGTGCGAAGTTTTCTTCTCGGCCGCCGGAAGTGTCTTCATTCTCTGCGTGCAACTGGCGGTTCTTGCGTCCGTTGACCACCAACACGTTGCCGCCGTGCTCGCTTTGCTGTTCGTCATGGGCAGCATTGGTGGCTCTGTTGGCAGCGCAATCTGTGGAGCTATCTGGACCAATACTTTTCTTTCGAGACTTGAGAGAAACTTACCCGCGTCCGCCATGCCTGACTTGAACATGATATATGAATCACTCCCCACCCAGCTGAGCTACCCAGTCGGAAGTGCTACACGGACCGCCATTGTGGAGGCATACGGTTATGCCCAAGCAAGGATGCTCATTGCCGGTACTGCATTCATGGTTCTGGGCTTCATTTGGGTTGGCATGATGAGAAACCTGAACGTGAAAAATATGACTCAGACCAAGGGTAATGTTGTGTAAGTATGACTGTTTGGATTTTGCGCCTCGAAAAGACGCTGGTTCAATCGCCCTCCAGATCACCTCGCTTGTCATGATGATCAAGTCGCCGTATACTTCAACCGCATTGTGTCTCTTCGTTACCATCCTTGTCCCATACAGAATAAACATGGATTTGTTAGCAACTCAGTGCTAATTGTATTTATATGGTACACGCATAGACATGGAATGAACATGGATGAAGGCCTGATTTCTCTTGATCTACCTGTGTAACCTCATATTTATAGACAGGAAATCCGATATTATTAAGGATAGTACATAATAACAGAACCCTGTAAAAACCTCGGTAATTACTATTTCAAAACTGTACTCTAGTAATAGCTAGGGGTCGGAGTAGGGCTTAAAAAACTAGAGTTTGGAGGGGATAAATTAGACTGGTCGTGGGTGGGGTTGGGGTTGGGTTGATCCGCGCTATTACTGATCCAAACCTTGTGGACTACAGGTTAATCCACCACCAATTCAACCCACCCTCACATCCATGTGGGTTTTGCTTTGGCCATAAGCTCTCCAAGCCTTGTATCTCCTTCTAGGGAGATTGTCGCAAGAACTGGGGACACTGAATGGGCACTCGAAGAGAGGATGACCACGCGAGAGCTGGAAGCCGGAGTTGAAGAGGGAAGTGGTGTTTCCTTAAGGAGATTGAATAATATGAATTGCGCCATAGGGTTAACGCCAGAGAATCCTGACTAAGGGGCTCGTTTCGTTTGCTTTTGAGACAAAGGAAGGGCCCCGTGTGATATATAATCCTTCTCTCGCCTCCAATCACCAGGAGGACACGTACAAGAAAGAGAGAAGAGCGAATCAAGTGGCTATCAAAACAAGTACATGGAAATACAGTTACTACCTATAGTTAGGAACCACTTGATTTAGAGTCGCTGGTCTGCGCAGCTGATGATGAATAACCTGAAGGCCGCCTAACACGGATAGGCATTGGAGAAAAAGCTATCCACTCCTTTTGTTGAGCATACTCAGGAGGTCAGAGAGTTGAAGGGATTGCGCACGTCCGAGCCCGAAGGCTGGGAGCCGTAGGTGTATCTCAACGCGGAGCAAAGGATGCATGACGTTTCTCTATCAAAGTTCAAGAAGAGTGTCAGATACGACATCCGATTGCCTCCATCAGACTTATCCGTGCATACATTTCCGACTGCACTCAGTATGTCCTCCAGCAAGCGGAATCTCCTTTCTACGCTACTCTCCGTAGGAGAGCTTCACCAACGATCATCATGTCATACAAAAGGAAGAGAAACCCCCAGACTCCCACTTCCGACAACTCTTGTTCACTGTACACCACTACACCTCTGGCACAATCAGCGAGCCCAAAGTCGTGCAGATCATGGCGTGCTCTATAGTCCATGTAGTATTTCACGCACCCTATGAACCCATCCACGAATCTGATGTGGTGGGCCATGGTAATAGCACCAGTTTTGATGTATCCATGTTCGATATTTAAGGCGCTCTTTACGGGGTCTACAATCAGCGTCCTCAGCAAGGCGACATTGCTTGATATCCCAGCCTTAGGACCTGCTATTCGCGAGCTAGGCATTATAATCATAGTAAATACTATGATATGTCAACCAGGCTGAGAAGAACACAAAGGCGTTTATACATGTTTCAGAATGGTTGACCTTACTACTGGTGAGCTACAGCCGCCCAATGGAGAGTATGATGGTTGTTCTGATCACTAGTTTAAGGTCCGCGTGCACTGACAGGGCTGTTTACTCAGTACTGATGAAGATAGGTCACTTTCCCTAGGGGCTTTGCCATGCGCATAGACTTACAGGGAAAAGGGGCTTGAGCATCCCTGATTGGCTTCTATCTTGGCAATCGGTGGCGCATCGAGCTTCTGGTACTGGAGAAGACGGTGTGTGGCTTCATCACAGTGGAAGTCCTGGTCACCCCTCCCTGGCTTGACTTCTCTTAGAAAGGCGGCGGTGAGCAAATAATCGCCCGTACACGTGAAGTCGTGTTCACAGAGGGTATGGAGAAGAGGGTTGTTGAGAACACTATGGAGAAAAGTCTCGCACGTTGCTGGAAGGTTGCCGACGTATACGGCGTTCGGTGGGAGCTCGATGCTGTAATGGTCTCTGGCTCAGCTAGCGTGGCTGATGCATAGGGATCAAGTTCGCGGTTGAACCATTAAGATTCGGTAGATGAAACGGCCGCTGTGAGCCGTAGAGAGCTTCGGCGCATCTTGGAAGAAAGCCAGGGCGTAGTACCCCATAGGAAAATCAGTTAGCTAAGCTGATCCTATTAGGTATATATGGATTCTATAGTTATACTAGTAGAGTAGGACTCAGTAAGTGGCATAATTAGATGTAGTATAATAAGATAGACGAAGCCATACCTAGAATATCCCTACTGGACTACTAGGCTACTGTCCTAGCCCAATGTAGTGGCCAGAATGGGGTGTTGGCGGCTCCCATAGCGAGGCCGCCAATAAGAGCTGTAAGAGCCGTCTTGTAGGGCTATTAACTTCCATTACTGTCGCCAATTTTTCACTCTAAGTATTCCTTGACGTGTTTCTCCAGCCTGATCTTTGTAAGCGCAGTGCTCAGTTTTGCCATCTGCTCAGGGTTTCCACCCAGCAACTCATAGATGGCATTCACATCTTTGCCCAAACCTATTTGCTCAGCTACCTGTAAGTCGCGACTGCCAAGAAATGGGCAAAGCGACGGCCAAACCCCTTGCACAGTTGAGATAAAGATTTCGATACCAAGGGGACCAATTCCATTGACCTCCTGCAAGCGCTCTTTGAGCAGCTTACGCCCTGACTCAGCGTCCGTTTCCGAAGGCAATATCCTTGATATGTCCGATCCTGATACGCAAATGAATGTCAGTACCCCTTGCAAGGTCTTGCCGAGCAGCGCAAATACATGCTGGGAGTTGAGGTCTATGTAGAATCCTCAAGGGCACTTTACCATATTTATTTTTCACCAAAGTTGCTAGTTTTCCGAGCTCAGTGGCAGTGCTAAAATCATAACGAGCATATCCTGCTTCATCCAATAGGGCTACTCGTTCTTTCCATGTGCTTGCTTTCAGTGTCTCCAGGTCATAGTAACCCTGTTTCATCAGATTGAGAAGAGCACGCCTCGCGATATGGTGCGAGATATGTGCAGAAGACAAGAGTGCATTCAGGATATGGGAAAGAATAGTCTGTGGCGTGGGTTTGCTCGGCGAGGGTATTCCCACGTCAGCGAGAGGAAGACACCCATATTCTGCCAACAGTTTGTCGAGCTTCTGGGTCATACGCGTAGAATTAGTCCTGGCTCTGTGTTTGATCATTTCCGCGTCCGGAGCCTTGGCCTGTTTGTTTGCGGACTTCTTTCCAGCAATACCGCTTCGGGGAATCGAATGGCTCTTTGAAGGCAGCCGGTGTTTCTGTTTTCTCCCTTGTCCATATACTTCTTCCTCTTGCTGTGCCCTACGCTTCCTTGGTGTGGCTTGGTCCGATTTCGATACACCTGAGGTCGGCTTCAGTTCTTTGCGTTCCACTGCGGTACGAGACTGTGCTCGAGTTAGAGGCATATTCAACAAATACTCTGAGAAACAGACGCAGATGGGACAGAATCAGAGTTGACATAGACTGGAAATGATTAAAAATGCATAATTTATAGCTACATTTGTTAGCTGCTGGTGGTGGTGGTGGTGTGATGAGGCGGAATAGTGGATCCAATGACATGTTCTAATCTGGTAGGTGTGTCCACAAGCCTACCATATCTCTTGATTGAAAGAAGTCAACCTGTTGCGTTACACTCCGGGATGATCTGACCATGTGGCAATTTCCCGAAGTATTAGGGTAAGGAAATGAGGGTCCTAGTGGGGGCATGTAAACTCACTATGGAGCTAGCCTTACAAGGGCCATATGCCAAGCTACCTATTCCTCATAGGGAAAAGCCATTTTCCTACTTGGGCCAGATTGCGAGCCTACTTTTTGTTCTGTTTCGGAGCTGAAGTATACTCCGAATGGCTACGCAACCTTTCTGTCGCCTTCCAGCAGGCCAGCATAATAAATACTGGCTGTCATGCGATGTAGGTGGGTTTGATGCAATTCTAGTTGGCAGGGCCAATATGATACTCTGCCAAGTGGGACCCGCATTATCGTCAGACTGAATTTCGGATTCAACTTTGCCGGTGTCGACGTCCATATGCAAGGATGACTTACTTTGAAGAGAGAGTGAACTTCCTTCGTCTGTCATCTGAGAATGGCAAGAAGCCCTTACCACTGGTTACACTCGGGGCTGTCAATAGAGATGGTATTGAACGACACCCGCACTGTTTTCCTCCAGTATCGTACTGTTTGCTAACACTAAATAATCCAGGTTCTTTGCGTTACGCTAAGGCCTTTGGGGAGGCATCGGTCGAGTCTACTGATACCGATGCCGTGCATTGGGTGGCCTCTTCTACCAAGTTGGTGACTACTGTTGCGGTAATGCAGTGTGTCGAGCGCGGTCTGCTAGACCTGGATGCAGACATCGCCAATGTGTTACCGGAGTGGGAAAACCCCCGGATCCTGACGGGCTTCGACGAGGGCAATAATCCTATCTTTCGGCCGGCCACCAAGCCTATTACCCTACGGTACATATGTCGCACTCTTCCTTGAAGCTGTCGGGATGTACGGTTCAGGTATACTAACGGCTACAAGGCACATGTTGACTCACTCCAGTGGCATGGCATACTTCTTCATGGATCCTCTTATGACACGTTATTATGAATTGCAAGGAAAACCGCCGGTAGTCCAAACTTTTTCCAGTTCCAGTTCCTGCTTTTCGAACCGGGCGAACGATGGATGTACTCTCCCGGTATTGATTGGGCAGGAAAAGCAGTAAGTCCTGGAATCTTTGGTCTTCTGCGGGCACGGTGAAACAACAATGTCTGATGTGAAAAGGTTGAGCGAGTCACTTTTATGAAGCTTGGCGAATACCTGCAGCGTTATGTTTTCGATATTGTCTCCGTGAAGGATACCACATTCCATATTGATCAGCGGGAAGACCTACGGGCTCGAAAGGTTAAAGCCTGGGTGCGAACAGATTAGGGTCTGGAGGAAGAGAAGAATCCTCTCTTCCAAGACCCAATTGCAGAAGACATTGGAGGAGGCGGCCTATACACAACCATGAACGAAATGCTCAAAATCTGTCATGGCATATTGACGGAAAAGTTACTCCGTCCGGCAACTATTAAGGAAATGTTCCAACCTCATCTGGAAAATTTTCTGGGTCTGGACCAACCGCACAATTATTCCTTAGCGTCCCGCAATGCCATTTGGAATGCAGTCCCGCATGATGTGCCCGTGGATTTTGGAATCGGTGGTCTGATGAATACATCTAGACTCCCAGAACGACGAGAGGCACATTCGCTCACTTGGTCCGGAAAGCCAATTTGTTACTGGGTTGGTCATCCGACACCTATGGGGAATCCATTCTAGCACTGACTTATCCTAGTGGATTGACATCAAGAAAGGAGTGGCTGGCATATACCTCTCGCAGCTGCTACCGACTGGAGATCAGACTGCCATTGAGTTGCTCACCGAATTCGAAAGATGGGTATATTCACGTTTAGATGAAGTGGATGGCCTGGAAAAGCAGGACATGGACATCTCCAGCCGATAAAAGGGCTGATATACAGTTAGGCTTCTCTCGAATCTACCACGTATTTGGGAGGCATTCTGACTGTTTCTTCGCCATCAGCTGCATGTTATCTTTATAATACTGGGCGACAACTTCTCTCAAATAGTCTGGCGTAGAAATGGCGCACTGATTTTAGACCATCAGTGCCTTGCAGAAGATATTATTAGGGCCTGCCATAACGACTCCAAGTGACCGACTAATGATTCTGGGCGACTGGATAATCGGCCTAATCAGAGCTTGTCTGATACTATTCAAACTGGGACCTCCTGGTACCATTCTTACTAATAAGTGTGAAGATTTTGGTATCCTAACTATACTGTCTGCTCCTTCAACTGTGGGGTACTGTAGAGGTAGCTGATCTACCTCCATGTAAACATTATATAGTACAATCCCGTCTGATCATATGTCGCTACTGTGCTAAAGGCCCAGAGGCAAAGATCTACACGTATGGCTATGTTTTATCTCACCCCTGCCATTTCTACTTGATTCTAAGGGACGTACACCTTAATTAAGTTGGGACCGGTATTGATCCTAGCTTTTCAACTTTAAAGTAGCAAATCTCACATTTATGGGCTGCTCCACCTACAATGCAATGATGTCTGCAGATCAGCGAAGAAGAAGTCACTCAGTCCAACCAGGATTTAACAATGTCTTGAATCGCATCCCACAACCACACATCATGTAATTTCGCCAGGTGGTCAAATCCATGCTCCCCATCCCGCACCACAAGTTGAAAGCGGAGAGTGGGGTCAACCTGGGCAATTTTCCTCTGTAGCAAGTAGCTCTCCTCAACAGGAGCCACAGTGTCATCCCGCCCATGGAGTATCAAGACACCACCGCGTGGAAAGCGTGCTCCAGCATCGAGCCGTTCAAGCAGATAGGGAGTAATGGGGGCTGCTGGGAAAAGCTGGCCTAGCTGGCCATGTTGGCATACCGCAAACATTAACCGCAATCGATCAGCGTCGGCGGCGGCCGATACAATCTCAGGCTTTTGCGTGATTGTCTCCCGTCTCTTGGTGTTGTCTAGATGCCATCTCAGCGTATCAGGTGGATAAGCCGGGAGGTTGAGCACAGGCCGTTCCTGGCCGCTGCTAAAGTAGGATGCTTTCGGGTTGACCATAGGATAGACGGCATTGACCGCTCTAATCTGGTCCGGGTGACTTAAAGCCATTTGCAAACTGAGATATCCCCCGGCACTGTCGCCGACAGTCATTATCCGGCTCAGATCGGCCTTCAGCGTGCCGTTTGTTTCTCGCTGTAGTAAGATGGGAAGCGACTGATGCAACCATTGCCAGTGATCTTCCACATCCTCAAGCACTTCCAGCACAGAAGACTCCGGCAACAGTCGGTAATTTGGAGAAACAATGATGGCCGAGTGTTCCAGCGCTAGTTCCAAATACCACGGGCTAAAAAAAGGAGGAAAGAGACTGTAGCCCGCGATAAGGCCGCCACCATGATAGCGAAGTAGGACTGGTCGAGGGACGGAGAGTACCTGCTGCTGAGATGGCTCGTTCAGACGCTTGGGATAGAGCACATCCACGGTAATTGTATGGCCGCTAACCGTTTTATAGCCGACGGAGATGATGGAGAATGCGTTGAACCGCGCCAAGTCGGTAGCACCCAAGGTCAAGGCTTCCATCTTGAGAGTAATCGGCAGTCTGGTTCGTATTAATTGCAAAGGCTGCGCATGAGGATTGAAGGCCTCATCCGAATGTGTACTCGACCATCAATTTCTATCACTCACTCCATATACGTCGGGGGCGGCGAACGCTAGCTGAACTTTCTCTGATATGTCAGTTCAATCTCGCATTCTCGACAGAAGAGGTAAGTCATGTGGGTCCAAGATGCGATTCGAATCGGGCAACCATTCCTTTGCAACTCTCACTTGGCGCGGGAGGGAGGTGATGTGCTCAATTACTTCTGGTGTCGGCGCCACAAACCCATATTGGAATCGCGCCAAAGTAAAATCTAGCATTGCAGAAGATAGAAGATAAGCAGACCAGTTTCTTGGACTCGTCAGACTAGCCTGAATAGGGTACTTGTCAATCCCGATAGTTGTTTATTTAGCTAGTTAGTTACGTCCGCTGATAAAGCGCAATACAAACCTCGTGCCGAAAGACCTGCTCAGAATAAAGTTAACCCACTAGTTACTCAGGGTTTGACTAGTCTTCGTGGCTAGTGGGGTCCGCTGGACAACCCACGTCGGCCCCCAACATAAGGCTAATCAAAGTTTACTAGAATCATGGAAACTCAGGAAACATTTGCATCAATAACCTGCCACAAACATCAAAAACACTGCTTTGCACTGGAAATGGACCGATGAGGTGCTCACAACTAGACAGGTTCAGCTGCCTTCCTGTCACACATTTGCCGGTATCGTCCACCTCCATCTCTACATGCAGCAGACAACAGGCATGCACGTATCCCCAATCAACTTGACCATCAAATGTCAAGATGCCGAACTCGGGCCATAACTGTTGAGAATGCATATAGGACTTCTTTCTCATAGGACTTCGCAAGGCTTGCCGGGCTAGCGTTGCAGACCTATTATAACATTAGGAAGCGCGCCATAATAATAGAGAGAAGATTACGATCCCTAGCCGCTTACCAGACGGAACCAAGGGTCTGCCATTATCTTATGATGATACTAGGATCATGGTTTACTATCACCTGTCACTATTTTAAACAATCAGGACATATCTCCGTAGACGGTACCAATTCAAGGAACAGGGGAGATAGAATACTAGCTTTCATTTGCAAAAAAAAATGGACTATACTAGACTGTTTGCCTGTTGCTTCAACCCGCACAGATTCAGTCCTCAACCCTAAGTTAAATATTAATACGCAGGTGCATAGTCGGAACTCAGTTAGAGCCGCTTAGGGGGAGTGGGAGGAAAACAGGGGACGAAGGTAAAGCACCAGCATAAAACGAACTGTTAAGTTTAGGTGCGTACTTGCAATCGATGTGCCTAAACCTGCACGAGCGTACAGCACTTGGAGAAGGTTACCAGGCTGCGCGACAAATGAATATAGACAACGTGGACATCTCGCCTCATGTGCGTTGCCGGTGAAGTCTGAGATCAAAGAGATGCTTTGGCAGAGTGTGCACGTCACCTCAAGTTGGAGGGGACTCGGATCCCACAACCTCGCGAAATGGCCCAAATAGGAAACTTTTATAACGTGGACAAGCTATATATGCCTTCCTGTGCCCTTGTGAAGTGAATCGACGATCATTATGTACAATGACTCCACCACGAAGTTGGCCTTACATGGGCATATGGCCAATCTCTTCCCCTTAGGGGTAAGCTATCATCCTCCTTGGGCCAAATTGCGAACTTGTTGGTCTTGTTGGATCTATGAGGTGCGGCCGGGGTCCGCGCTTCGGTGTAAGCGGACCTGTACGAAGTGGGCCAGCTACTCTTTTTATAAAGTGGGAAGGTGACTCACGCTCATTTCTTTGGAACCCACATCTTTTTTTGTTGTGAGTTATATAAGATCATATTTCAAGAGCTCGAAAGTCTTTGTCTTGACATAAGTTTCAAACCGACCCTATCCCAAGAGCTTTCTACACCGATTGAACATTCTTTTCCAGACGTCTCTTGTCTTTCAAATCATGGCCTTCAACCGTATCGCTGTCTATGGTCACCGTGGATTCGTTGGCTCTCGAGTTGTTGTTGCTCTGATTGCCTCGGGAGCTCCAATTACTGTTTTGCATCGCCCTAGCTCGGATACTTCCAATCTCCCCGAACATGTGAGAAAGATTGAAGTCGACGTTCTTGATGAAGATGCTTTGGTTGCTGCCTTGCAAGATATAGACATTGTGATGTCAGTCAGAGCTACTACGCATCTGTATCTTTTCGAGTCTATGCTAATGGAGTTCTCAGTTCTCTTGTTGGAGACGAGGGTACCGACAGACAGTATGGCTTTGTGAAAGCCATCCCTAAGACTAATGTCCGGCTTTTCTCCCCTTCGGATTTCTGTCTGCGATATTGTGAGCAGGGAATGCGGATACCCTGTATGAAGGCAAAAGCGAAAGTCGAAAGGGCTTCCAAGGATGCTGGGATTCCTACCACCGTCATTCACGTAGGAAATTTCGCTGAATTCACCTTAAGTACACAGTTAGTCGTCAACCGACCACTCGGGATGTCTATCCATAACTGACTTTCACAAATTATAGGGCGGTAGGTGTTGATTTGCAGAATAACGTATTGGTCTACACCGGCAACTCTGCTAGCGAAAAAGTCACTATGTGGTGCGTAACATTTCGCCCAGAGACTCCTTCTCATCTAAATAATCCCTTTCGTTTGATTCAACTAATTCCTTGCAGCACCAAGGACTACGTAGCGGCTGCGTACGTCGACATATTTACCACCAGACCTATACCCACTATACAGGACCGGACCATCACCTTGTCAGAGCTTGCACCAACAGGCATGGAAATTGCTGCGATCATGAAAGAGAAGAACGGCAGAGACCCCTCTATTGCGACACGAAGCTTAGAGGAAGTCAATCGAACGATTGAGGATTGTATCAGCAGGGAGAGTAATCTCGCTGTCCCGGCCTATTGCCGCAAAATCTGGGGAACGGGAGAAATGATGAAGATGCTTCCCGACGATTTATGGGAAGTTAAGGACTACAGGAAAGCAAGTTTAGAGGACCTTGTCATAGGAGGAAGATTGGAAAGCTATAGAGCCCTACCCGATCATGTGTTGGAGTATCTAAAAAAGATGCTCTGAGACATGTCTACTACTAGTCTTCCGCACGACCCCACCAACCCCACTGGGATGGGGTTTGGGATATTGTTAAAGTGAGAACAGATTAAAATATTGTTTGTTGGTTGACTTGAAGAATTATCTTTACATGGCGACATGCCCCACATATATACCCACCCCCAACCCCTGCTGCAAGGTTCAGCCACCGTGATACTCAACAGATATGGCTATTGGACCCCAGGTGCGTTCTGGGGGACCCATTGGGGTTATATACTTAACCAACAGGCCAAGTCCCTGGGACTGCATAAATTATGCAACTTCGCCTGTAATCTAGAAGTGTTTCGTTTACAATCCTCTAATTCCATCAACTAGGTTTTCTGTCGTCGAAAATTATTATGGGTTCAAAAGTAATCCATTCTGCAATAGCGCTCATACATATCGTCCTCCCTGATTTTTCGCTTTCTCCCCGAACCCCTGAGCTGGGTGTTGTTCTGTGGTAGTGCGACCGTAGTTTTTTTTTTTTTTTTTTCTTTTTATCAAATGGCTGCGCCCGTTTGCAGTCTCTGGAAAGGCAGTTGAACGCTCCGGGACGTTCGTCAGTCTTCGGGGCGCGAGTGGGTTCATCGAGTCTTCAGGTCCTCGTGCAGCTTCCTTTGCATGTTCGTCCACTATCTCGTTTCCACCGATTCCTTGGTACGCCGGGATCCATTTGAGCTCGGTTCAGATGCTGTCTGCCAATTGACGAATAAGATTCAAGCACCTCGCTAGGTAGACTTGGCCGGAGGGCATGCGTGGTTGGCGAAGAGCTTGTAGTGTGAAGCCTACTGCAGACGCATACCAATGGAAAATTGCGAGAAGCTATGCCGGTCCGCTCCACCTTAAAGCCAGTGCCTAGGGCTATCGGCTGTCACATATTCGCCTGCTTGAAGACGCTTTGATGTCTGTTTGGGGCCTTTCCTTATTGAGGTCAATAGTTCGTTGGCGAGTTGGCGACGTACTCGTTCTACATGTGTGGATGCCTTTCCAGTACTGTACTGGAGTAGGGGAGAAGACCTGGAATTCAAGTTCAGAGCTGGAGATAGTCCCTCTCCGTCCTGTTCGAAAAAACAATGTATTAAGCATCAGTTCTTTATATCAGACAAGCACGATACATAAGATGACGCACTATGTGTTCAAGACACGGCATTCGCAAGCAGGCGTCAGGGGCAAACAAGTTCTGTGGGCGGTTCTTTCGGACTCATTCCAGGGTGGGAGTGTTACTTTTCGAAATTGGAGACGCTACACAGCATGAAGTCAATATCACTGGGCCAGCTTAGTATGCATGTGCAAACCACAGCTGACTCATTCTGCTCTTCCTCCTCCGGCGGTCAGCGTAAGAAACCACATATCTAAGACATAAGATGGATATTACATTGAACTAGATCTCCCGCGCCGGAGCAGCGGGGAGAGAATTGGCTGCGATTCTGGCTTAAGCACAACCTGTTTCCCTCAGCGCAGTCATTCCTTCCTACCCAGCGACAGGATGATGGGGAGGCGCATATTCTAGCTGCCAAAATGTCTTTTGTTTCAGTAACACTGTCGGTTCTTCGAGCCAGGATGTTAAGTCAGACCTCTCAAGACGGCTGAGATGCAGAGGCGCCAACTAGTGTGGAGCTGCCTACATCAATGATCACGCGGCGTTTACCTTTCTCGTAACTAATGTCGGTGGAGGCAAAAACGCCAAATGAGGACGCTAATCGGATGGCTGGGATGGTTCATCGCGATCTGTCCAGAAACGGAAAGCGTGGTGGGGAAGTTCCCAAGGTACCCGTGGACACAGCCCCTAGTTCACCAAAACTTCGTTCATATAACTTAATGAATGCTATGGTATTGTCGTCATTGTCGAGTCTAGGTTGCCAATGCGGAAATCATACCTCGATCCAACATATTAACCTCTCGTCTACCTCCTGAACAGATGGCAAAACCACTCATTCGCGCCTGACCGTTGACAAAAAAAGAAATAAATAAATAAAGCCCCTGATTAAATATGCCAAACAGTGAGTCATCTGTCGAAGCCCGCTTGCGGTATCTGATGCCGAGCCTCTCGGTATACACTGAAGGCAGAAACTATCAAGACTGTCTGGAATTCTATAACCATGCGCTGAAAGAGGAACCACTAGTCTGCGCCCGGCCGCGGACTGAACAAGACGTCTCATGCTTGCTTCAATTTTGCACCGAGCGGAAGATCCGCTTTGCTGTTCGCTCAGGCGGTCACGACTTTTTCGGCCGCTCCATAGTCCACAAGTGCATTCTCATCGACATGCGCGACATGGACACGGTCAGTATCGGGTCGGACCGAGCCCACGCACGCGTTGGTGGCGGAGTGATTGCCGGCCACCTGCAGGAAACCCTTAATTCTCACGGCCTATTCACCCCCACCGGACAGGCAAAGTCCGTGGGCTATGTCTCTTGGGCATGTGGCGGAGGGTACGGGTTCTATGTTGGAACGTACGGTTTTGGGGTTGATCAGATACTTGGTGCTCGAGTGGTCTTGGCCGGGGGCCGCGTGGTTGACACCAACGAAGATTCAGAATTGCTGTGGGCACTCCGTGGCGCTGGGGCTGGCACATTCGGCATTGTCACGGAGCTTCGTGTGAAGGTATACCAAGTCACTAAACTATACGCTGGCTTCCTAGCCTTCCCCCTGGCCGAGGCCGCAACTGTCATGGACAGGATTGAAAGGCTCTTAGATGGTGGCTTTCCCGATGAGTTCAGCGGTGATGCCATCGTCGTAAATCCTGAAATGGCTCCAACGCCGGTAGCCGAGCCCTGCTTAGTCCTCTTTTGGTGTTGGACTTCGCCCAGTGAAGACCTCGCGCCTGCGAAAAGGTTCCTTGAGCAGACGATGCAGGCCGGCAAGATTCTGGGAAACACGGTGACAGAGAGTAAGTTCTTAGGCTTCCATGATGATATGAACTCCAGTTAACTGACCTGTATCCAGCTACACCAGCTGCCTACGGCTTGGGTGATTCATCGTCGGGAACCTTCTTCCGCAGTCGAAACGTCGATCGGATGCATCAGAATGTAGGCACCATCCTCGCACGGCACCCTCCACCACATCCGCTGTGCGCTGTCATATTTCACAATAACCACGGTAAAGGTGTTCGACACCGAGTCGCCGGTACTGCTGGGGCGGCCTTTCCGAACAGATATCAACATGTCATTCTCGGCCTCCATGGCGGCACCAGGCTAGGCTGTGCTGATGAGCAGGAGCTTGAAAGTGCAGCTAGATGGGTCACAAAATTGGAGGAAGCGCTTGATCAGAATGGTCTTTCATTGCCAGGAGGGTTCCCTGCATTTTGGCCCCCTAACCAGGTGGACTTAGGACGATTCTTCGGGGAGGAAAGCGCCTTGAGACTGCGGCAATTGAAGGCGCGACTAGATCCGACCAATATGTTTCATCATGCCCTGCCCGGTCTGAATGGACACTGACTTATTGTAATCGGATATCATACTCTCTTTACAAATTCCGCCTTGAAGCGGCTGTAGCCTTTATAGTGTCCTACGGGGGTGGGTAGCTATTTTGCGGGTCATTAGTAATCCACCCGTAGGGTGGCAATCCCTGGTGATCCGTCAGATTCTAACAGATAGCTCTATCTCCAATGTCACTATTGAACGCAAAGAACAGCAAAGAAAGTGAAGAGTCTATCTGACCAGACATGTACTTCCCCCGCTTACTCTTTAAACAAGTGATAGTTAGCTCTTCTCTCAGCTTGAGCACGCAGCAGGAGCACGAGAGTCTACCAAGTCGACCGCGAAACAAAAGCAAATTAGGCTGTCGAGAATGCAAGGCAAAACGGGTCAAATGCGACGAGGCCTATCCGACGTGCAAGCGGTGCCAGCGTCACGGTCTTTTCTGTTCGTCAGCCCCGCGGCTAACACAGTGGCAAGTTGAGACACCGTGGCTCTCACTGCAGCCTAAAACGCATGTCAATCCAAGGTTACTGCAGTATTAGCTGGAGAAAGTCAGCCAAGCGTCCGTTATAGACCCTGAAAATAATCCGTTCTCTTTCCCTATCTTGGAACACGTCGCCCAATCGCCCGCACTTCTCCATGCTATCCAGTCAGTCAGTGCCAGCCATGAGCTGTACTTTCCGGCCGAGACTCCCATTCTAGCCCTCGAAGAACGTGGCAAAGCCATAGCGTGCCTTCGAAAAGAGATGAGTCAGATTCAAGGCGCTCCTTACACACACTTTCTCACCATAATGCTGCTGGCTCTGACGCAGGTTGCCGATTCTGACCCGAAGGATTATGGAAAACAGCATTTATTTGGTGCCCGCGCCCTGATTAACAATATGCTCCGTGAAATATCTATGTCAACGATCGATAACCCTGTGGTGCGACTCTGTCTGGGAATCTATCTTTACTGGGACATGTGCAGTTCATTCTTGGTAGACCCATGTGAACCACAGGGTCTCAACTTATTTAACATGTCCCTCGCGGTACACACGATGGGAGACTGGCACCATCCAATGTACGGAACATGTAGCCGACTTCTCCTTATCATAGCAAATGTCGGACGATATTGCCGACAGATACATGATATGCCACAAAACCGCAACCCTATGCAAGAAGTCATGCTGGAGGCTCAGCTGCGCACATGGACGACGAGTCCCCCCAATGCTGACCTGGGCCACTTATATGAAGCGTTCCGCAACCACGGGCTCGTTTTCCTTTATCGATCTCGTGCACATGCACAGAGAGGTTGTCCTAAGGATCCGGATGTGACTGAAGCACAAGAGTCTTTGATCCTACAGTACGCCGAGGAGACAGTCCGCCATCTGCTACTCACTCCAGCATCCTCGTACTCCCTTAATTTTCAATCTCTCCCTCTTCTCGCAGCCGGATCCGAATTGAACGAGTCGAATCACTTCTTGCGTGATGAAGTGCGTGGCAGACTACGAGCCATCTATTCAATGAATCGCCTTCCCACAAATCTAATGGCCCTTCAACTCGTTGAAGAACTCTGGGATGCCCGAGACCGTGGTAGCCCCTCCTTCTGGCTATCACACACGCTGCAGAAGGATTGGCGATTGCTTCTAACATGAGGCTTTACTTTGTCAAAACTTTGCTATTAACCCTTTGGATGTACGCCCCCTATTCTTCGAGGGCTCGTGAAGCACTCTGCCAAGCAAGGCGCAGAGTGCCCTTCCCTGATAATTTCTTTGCACCACCCCAGAAGACATGTCGATTTGCTGTTGAGAATCTGCCTCTCTGCCTGTTACTTGTGCACAATAGAATTGCATCACTTTTTTGGGCTTATGTAGGCTATGTGCGAGACTGGTATAACCTTCAGCTGGGGCGTCCCCTACCGTTTCGATGGGAAATACTGTTAGGGCTAATTCAGGGGGGAAAACGAGTTCATTGCTATCCGGTTACCACTAAGTTCGGAGCATGGACGGTATTTAGAATTAAAGCATTGTAAAGACACTAACTATAAGTTAACTTTTTAATTATTAAATATACTCCTAGAGCTGCTTAACTATACTTATTAGGTCTTTAGCTATAATCTAAGGTTAAGTAGTCTATTATAAAGTTACCTAACTAAATTTAAGCTAATAGGGGTTAGTGTACTTCCTACTATATTATTTAATATTAAGAGTTAATTAGACTTCCTAAAGTGATTTATACTATATAGTGTTTAATTTATTATACCCTGGGATCCATCTCTTAGATTTTAATCTACTAATATATATATAGGACTATTTATAGGCTATTAATATCTATATAAGTAATAACTTTAATATATAAATATATATAGCCTTATAGCCTAACTACCATAAGGTGTAAAACCTAGATATAGATAGTACTTTTTTTATTTATATACTTAAAGACTTTAAGGCTAAGTCCCTAGTAAAAAAGAAAAAGCTCTTTATATCTAATAAATTTAAAGAATAGCTCTCCTAGACTCCTAAATACTTAGTATTAATTTTTATAGGTTTATTATATACTTTTAATCTTATAGTATATAGAGTTTCAAAGGCTGTTTAAATAATACTACTTAATATTATATAGGGCTCTCTACTTTAACTTTATTATAGCTAATAAAATAGTCTAGACTAAGCTAGATTAGGTATATATTCTATAATTATATATAAAAATATATTCATTAGTCTAGAGAATATATTACCTATCTAGAGCACTTATAGCACTTAGGGCAGGCATGACCTACCTAGGCCTAAATCAGCTGTTTTAGTTAGAGGAATAAATAATATATAAATACTAAGTATTCTGCTACTAGCACATAGCCACAACCTTTCCTCTGTCTGAGAAATACTAAAATAAGCCTAGTAATCTAGTATAGCCCTGTATTTGCGCTGCTGGTGCCTGATCTTAAAGCCTATAATATCTCTTTGAGCTAGAACACTCTTATGTAAATATGGCATTGTGGTACAGGTATTGCAGTGCATATTAGAAAGGCTCTATTAGGATATAGAGATAAACTGCATATTAAATAGCATACAGCCACAGTATAAAGGATGTAACAGCTCTATGTATGTAAAACTTAGATTATGTTGATCATCTAGATCAGGCCGATCTTGGATCTGCAAATGAACAGGATGGCGATGATTTAATCATTCCTGACGATGAGAGGTTCACTGTCGAGTCTTTGGTTGCCCCCTACTACACTGTTACCAAGATCTGGAGCCGCGATATTTCATCACTGCAAAGCGCACCCTAATATTGGCTGGCTTCTGCTGAACGCCCAATTCTCCTCAAGTAAACTTGGTTCCAAAGGATATACAATCCTTCCAATCTCATCAAGCCTCGGGTTTAAGAATTTTTTCCTACACAACCCCCCGCGATTGGAAAGATCACCTCACCAGCTATAAATGCCCTTTCAGGATGACTCTCTAATCTCATTAGCCAGTGAGAATATTGCGCTGAATTCAAAGCAAATGATTATGATGCATAAGTTACTATCTGAGATTCTTGCGTGGATTGATCATCCGTATGACTCTTCACTAAACAACTCCTTCTTTGCATAACGGGCGAAGGTGGCACAGGTAAAACACAAATACCTCGCCCTTGAAACGGCCCCTGGATTTTCTTGGTCGAAAACATGAGATCATCCTAGGTGCTGCTGCAGACACTTGGGTGGGAATACATATCACACTACCCTGGGTATCAATCTTTCCTACAAAGCAGCAGTCAGCGCCCACATCAAGAAACTCTGGGCACGAAAGGCTATCCTGGTCATTAACAAAATGAGTATCATCAATCTCAAAATGTTAAGTATTATTATTGACCAAAGCAAAGTTGCTCGATCACTCCCCAGATCCTCTCCTAACCTTTTTGGTGGCCCTCCGATTGTGATTCTCATGGGTGATTTCTTTCAATTTCCTCCAAAAACATCATCATTCTAGATGAGCAATGAGACAGTTGGAGGGTCCCTCATTTTGTGACTTCCTGACGCGCACAAGACGTGCAACACTAACTGAAGAAGACACTACACACCTTAACTCCAGAGCCATCCGCTCACTTACAAACCCTGTTTTGGAAGTGTTACTGTCATAGTTAAATTAAATGCCCTTCAGCATCCAGTTAATCACATCCGTATCGAGCATTTTGCTCCAAAAAGGGCTCGGAAATTGCACCTATTCGCTGCTGTTCACTCAAGAACCAAGTCAACTGGTCCCACAAATCCTTTCGACCGCAAGCTCATGAGTTGCTTCTCTAACCTAATCACAACGCCCAGATTCCATTTCCCAGCCTTCTTTTCTATACCCAAGATATGCCATCCATTCTTCTTACAAACACCTGCACCCTGCTCGGCCAAGTGAATGGTGCTACAGGCACCACAGTAGATGTTCTTCTTAATCAAGCTGGAAAGTCTTCACTCCAACTTCAAACCTCATACCTAGCTAATTCCTGCAGCTTAACTCTTTGATATAGATGACCTTAACATCTTCTGCATTAGACCACCTGCATCCGTTCTATTCAAACCAGATAGACCATTGGCTGCCAATTTTGATCAACTTCCAACTTCCGTAATGCCCACATTTCCTATCGAGCATTATCTCTGTTAAAAATTTTCAGTGAGAAGGATGCAAATACCAATCTGGCCAGTTTTTTGCCTCACTGATTATAAAGTGCAAGATTCATCTCTTTCTGCCGCAATCCTGATCTAAAAAATATTTCAGCCCGCCGAGGGCAAGATCCTCATGGGAAATACTGCTCGCTTTACATTCAGCTTTCCAGACTGCGATCCTTTCGAGGCCTCTATTTACTCCAAAAGATCACAACTGACGATCTTCGCTTCTCACCTGACCCAGATCTACTCGTGGAGATGGAGAGGTTGCACAATCTACAGGAAAGAACACTCGCTGCCTGGGGTCTTTCCCTCTGATTCGTCTGTCTTTGTTTTCATAATCAATAATCCCTATACACGTATTGCTTAACATTGCCACGACTTTCTACTTTTTTTCCACTATTGCCACGTGCCATGTCGTTTCAGGGCATACAGCGTGCATCAGCACGCGTCCCGCAGGAAACCCGACTGCGACAGGTGTACCCATAACAGAGAGCGATTTCCATGTAGAAAGGCTATTTCCACGCGCGTTTCTCCTTCGTCAGTGCCTCTTCACCTTTCATCCCTAGTATATGTTGGCAGTCCTTGCTGCAGTTTCTATGGCACGACTCTCGTTCTTCATTAGGGCCCTTCTGTGCTGTCAGAAAAAAATAATCTGGATCGCTTCTTCCATGGCTTTTGTCCCTAGTCCCCCCATTCATCCCCCTGAATAGCCTTATAATATATGTCCAATATCCCTGCCAAGGCAGAAATGATTCGTTGTATTAGCGTCAATGCAACCCCAGTTCACAATCACACTAGCCCTAAAATGGTATTAAGTGTCCCACACGGTGCTAGTCGGATCAACAGATCAACTAGGTATAACGCCTGGCTAAAAGATAAAAGAAAGAGAGGGGAAGCGTAGAATAGAGTTTTAAAAAGCGGGACAGCCCAATGGATTTTAATATGAGCACTCCTTGGCAAGCAAAGTCAAAAGTTTTTAACTCCTACTTACATGTAATGTATATTTTATGTAGTCAACAACACTATTACGGTTAAATTTTCAATGAGCTGATACTGAAAATGGCTACGGACTGGAAAGCGGGCTATCGCAGGCTTGTTCATTTCATCCCCTGTTACTGATGCTTGAGTTCTGAGGTCTTCCAGTATATAACTACCCGTCTTTCCGAATGTGTGCCTGCGACTTCCGTAAACAGAGGTCTTCTTCCTTGTGGCACAAAGTAGGCCACTGGTCAACATTCAGCTAGCAATCCCACCAAGCCTGTAAACTTAATATATCTTTCAAGCTACTCGAATGGTGCTGCGACGTGATATTGAACCCAATTGATTGACGCAGCATGAATTTATAGTGGGAGTGGCTGGAGGTCTGTGTTTTGCGATCTTGTGCTCTCAGGATTCAGCTAATGGGGCCTAAATCTAGGCTAATCTGGGATAAAGATATGCTGTAGGTACGTGGTTGGCAGATACTAGTCAGTCATCCTACCTAAGGGGACTTGGCTTGTTGGAGTTCAGTGGTGTTTCAGGGTATTGGATTGTGTATATGCAGTTAAAGGCCCTTCTGATTCTGGTATGACGGTATGTCTGCTATGGAATAGTGAAGATGACTTTAAACCTAATGGAATAAACTCCATTCGCACGGGACTGGAAGGTATCAGGCTGGGTAGGTTGGAGAAAAGGAAATTTAAAATGGGCAGGAAGGAAAGAGGGGTGCTTTAGGAGTAGTATCCAGACTTCAGAACTTTTTGTTCTTGAATTCATATCTGAACCAAACCCAAACTACTTCCACTTATGCCTGAAGCAGGCTCTTGTACGCGTTGGGGAAGTGGTGCATATTCTTCTTGATCAGACCATAGCCATGCAGGAACTGATTGTGGGCACTATCCTGCTTTAGATTCCCCTTCTGGTGTAGCTGGATGTACTCCTTATAGTGGACAGGGGGTGAAGCCCTAATTCTTGGAGATAATGATCTTTTAGCGGCTGGGGAACTTGTACATAGCATGTTGGAGAGCGTTAATGGCGGTGGCACGGTGGGCGTCTTGGGTGCGGATGGACAGAATGATTTGGCTAATATCTATACAGGCAACAGTACCCTGGGGCTTACTGAAGGCACTATACATACCTGTCTGCAGATGATTGGCACCGGCGCATGACAGCATTTTGTTGATACGGATGACATGAAAGGGGTGAATATGTATATGCATGTGGAAACCTTCCTTACTGGCTACCTTCACAAGGTACCTAAATGTGGAAGGTTGGAGTCTGAGGCCTGAAATGGAAGGGGGTTAATAATCTTGATGGTTGTAGTTAAGAAATTAAATGAAGAGCAGAAGGGAGGAGGCAGGGGAGAGTGTACTTGTTAGCACAAATACAGGCAGCCTCGAGGGCCTTGGATGATAGCTGCTCATATTCGTTGGAGACCATATGCACACAGGTGGGGAAGTCGTTAACACTGGCCTTCTTACGGCCTAAATTGAAGATGCGGATCTTAGGGTTGGGAACACCACGGTTGAAGCGCGATTTGGGGTATGGCTAGAGGTGAAGGCTAGGATGTCATTGAACTAATCTTTGCTAAACCATCCAGAGTTTCATGATTCTTAAATTTTGAGAAGCTCGAAAATATTCCAGTAATCAAGTCAAGTTCCAGAAACAAATGTTTCCATGCATGCAAAACCTCCCCGGCGCTCTCGTTAATGATCGCGATGGGTTTTGCCTCCTGTGCCTGTTCTCCACAACCGAGCCTCCGCACATCAAAAAATCATCGGATAGCTCAAAATAACGCACCTTATTCTTGCAGTAGCGGTAGCAGCGGGCGGGACGGCGAGTCGTAATGTGAGTTGGAATTGTCTAAATTCCGTTCCTGCGAACTGGGTGTTGGATGTCGTCGAAATGGGCGGTTTACGGATTGTTGGAGCTCCAAGATGGGCGTGTACTGTAATTGTGAGAGTTGGAAGGCGCACTATGTTCCTCATGGCTTTTCTAACCTACCCCTAATTAACTTATATAGTTGACTACGGCGGGATGCTAACGCAAAGGACGGGGGAGAATCCTGGCAGGATTTGCCAGCAGGTCACATTATGGCAGCTGCATAAACTACATCACTTTCCACACTGGCACACTATTAATCTTTTTGAAGGCTCCATAATCTCAAAAAGTTCGCGTATCATGCAAATCCGTATTCAACTAAACGTATACTTACTTCTAATCCATCGACAACCGACGTACTGCTTAGTCGTACCCCGATGTCGCGTTTTGGGCCGATTTTTCAGATGTGAAAAGCCTCGTTCGCATACTCCGTATTTTCCTACAAAGCGCCTACCTCTTCAGTCGCACAGCATAGTTTGTCAGCGGCGACTCGGTGACTCTGATATGCCGTCCTCGGCATATTCGCCTCCGAGTTCCGTCCTTACGTAATGGCACTACCATAACTAATATGAAAGTCGGGAAGCACACTGCGTTCCTATTGGATGGCTAATTTCTGATATAAAAGCTTATACGTCGCGGCGCTAAACCAGAAAGGGAAGAGGGAGAATCCTAACACATAAATAGCTATGATTCAACTACCGCCGTGACAGATCATCAGATTGGTCATGATTTGTCATTTTGCTTTCTCTTGTCGGCTTGATTTGTAATTCGCGAATAGGCCTAAAACTGAAACCCAAATTCAGCGGCACACCGTTTTGGGATAGGGGGCAGGCAGGTAACTTTCTGTGAATGTCGTGCGGAGGACTCACGAACTCAACTATAAGAACAGGTCTTTCAGCATGAATGGATACGCCTAGAACTTCAGTCTTCTAACAAGTTCTTCAGAACAGCTATCTCATCACCAGCTCTATTGTGCCGTTACTACTAAGTAGCATCAAACTCTCGAAAATGTCGGGCAAGAAAATCATTGCTGTTATCGGAGCCACTGGCGCCCAAGGGGGTAGCGTTGTTGATGTCTTCCTCAATGACCCTTCCCTGAACCAAGAGTGGACAGTTCGCGCAGTGACTCGAGATCCATCTAAAGACAAGGCGAAGAAGTTGAAGGAACGGGGTGTGGACGTGGTTGCTGTAAGTGTTCTCGATGGCGGATATGTGGACATCTCTGCACTTACTGACCAACTAGGAAGGCTGACTTGAATGACAAAGCCTCGGTTGTGAAGGCGTTTACTGGAGCCACTGCAGCATTTGCTGTCACCAACTACTGGGAGATCATGAGCATTGATACTGAAATCCAACAGGGTCGGAACCTTGTTGATGCTGCGAAGGTTGTTTCCCTACTACTACCATTCTGTGAGGAAAGTGCTCTAATGCCATAGTAGGAATCTGCTGTCTCTCACTTCGTCTGGAGCTCTCTGCCCAATGTTAAGAAGCGTAAGGATCCGCAAGTAATCATCTGGCTTATATAAAAGCCGGCTAACGCGAGAGAACCTCCAGTGACGCATGGGAAACTTGCCCACGTCTATCAGTTTGACGGCAAGGCTGAGATTGAGGAATATGCTAGACAAGTTGGCATTCCGGCCACGTTCTTCCTACCGGGGATGTATATGCAGTCTGTTGTTAGTGGTGGTTTTAGACAGACCCCACCTGCAAACGCCTGGGTATTTGCACTCCCGATGCCTGAAACTGCACCTATTCCCTTGTTTGACGTTCAGAACACGGGAATCTGGGTCAAGGCAATTGTACGAAAGCGAGACCAGCTGCTGGGAAAGCGGATACTCGGTGCAACGAAGTATACGACTCCCAAGGAAGTAGTCGACGGGTTTAAGCAGGCCTTCCCAGAGGCTGGCAAGACAGCCAGCTTCTTCAGTCTGCCGCATGAAATGTTCCTACAGGGGGTTAAAGACTCGATGGGGTTGCCGGATTGGGCAGCGGAAGGGATCTTAGAGATGATGCGCCTTGTTAGTGAGGGCGGATACTTTGGTTTTGAGCCGTTGGAAGAGAGTCTTGCGGTGCTGGAGGACAAACCGACCACGTGGGTGGATTTCCTAAAGAAGAACGAGGCTTTCAAGGATCTCAAATAAAGGACGTGGAGAATAGTGCTATTATATTATCAACAGAGAAGAGGTTGAGACTAGTCCTTGGACCGAAATGTAGGACATCTGCTAGATGATCTAGCTCCGGTGATATCCTGTGGAGCCGTAGCATGATCTAGGGTCCTAAAGATGATGACGTGATGATGATGCGTCTTGTAATGTAGCTCGCTCTAAATACATGCTAGGTACTATGCGGGGTTGCTCGCTGATAGTTTTAAGGTGCTTGTTAGCCCACTAAGAGACTGTTCTATGGGGCTCGTGGGGTGACCCTGACCTCTTGCCCTTGTTATATGCATAAGGCAAGGGATGTTGGGATGAGGGATAGGATCTAGGAGGTGCGATAGCATGAGCCAGCAACTGAGTGATTGAAGATACTGTCTGAAATAACCCCTGAGCAGAAGTGTGCTATACACACTTCCCGAAGATCCACTATACCGTGTGAGGCTAGTGCGTCTCAGGGATGAACTATTATCTAAAAGGCCTCAGCGTCATTGACGACTGCTGACACCTCAACAAAGGAAATGCAGGGTATACAAATACAGTACACAAAGGAAATTAAAGATTAAGATATGTATATACTAGTGCTAACGGAACCAATTGAACAAGTTGATTGAAGAACTATCCTGGAGATCGCTGTTGAGAGCGTCTTGCAGCCTAAGAGGCTAGTATTAGCGTGTTACAACCTAAGCATTCTGAGTTTACCCTGTTTATTATACAACAACGTGAAGAGTGGGTAGTCGCTGAGTCAGCCGTTTCTTAGTGATAAATGAGCCCGGCCAGAGTATACTCTTTTTTACCATTTTGGCTGTGTGACGTCACCGATGAAGTTGTTTGTTTTCGCCCCCACTTTTCATTTATGCCACTATCTATTGAATTCTCATTTCGTCGTTTCAATCTGTCTGCAACGATTTGATTCGGAAGTGCGCCTGCTGAAGTTCCGAGATGTGCTCGGGTCAAGTCTTCAATCAATGGCATCCATTGTACTTAGACCTCCAAACTCTAGACCATAGGTTTTCGGTAGTGATCATTTGACAAGCCCCTCTCCCTCAGCTTGACCGATATGAGATACTTCTGTTTCACAAACCAGTTGCACTCTGTACTCCAGGGCATTGTATCCTCAGAAATCTCGATATTAAACTCATGCACAATCTGGGGGAGAACTTTGTACATCTCCAATAGGCTGATGTTTTTGCCAATACAGGTCCAAGCACCCCCGCCAAACTATATCGTAAGATCAGTGAATTGCTCGTTTATTCCTGCCGACCTACATTGCGCCCTGTACAGCCAAAATACTTGATGACTTACCGCAAGGAGGCTTACTGCGCTAGATGCTGTTCCCGGGGTTGACGCGAACCACCTCTCGGGTCGGAATACGTGGGCATCATGGCCATAGACGACTTCGTTGTAGTTCAATGCCCAAGCGTTGACACCAACCTCTGTCTGCGCTCCCTCGTTATTAGCCCGAGCATGACGGAGAACATAATAACCTTACCCCTTCTGGGACGAAGTAACCGTTGATTTCCGCTCCACCTTCAGGAACAACTCGGACAAGTGGCACCCGACAGCGGGATGCACTCGCAGGGCTTCCTTTACCACCGCTTAGAGATATGGCATATTTTGGGCCTGTGGAAAGTGACCGGGTTAGAGATCTTGCCGTTGTTCTCCATTGTGTCCAACTCTTCTCTCAAACGCTGAAGGATTTTTGGATCCTTGTATATGTGATACAAGGCCGAGCTCAAAGTAATGGCGGTTGTGTCGGAACCAGCAGCGATGTTATTCGAGCAGACACCTATAGCATCCCGTCTAGTCATCTTGTCTTTGCCTTTAAGGCCAATAATTTTGGCGACAAGCGGCTCGTCGTTCGTATTGCCCTTAATAGCACGAGATTCTTCACAGTATTTCGCCAAATAGCCCTCAGAAATATTCAGCAGGGTAACGGGCGAGGGCTTGTTAAAGAACCGGAGACGCTTGAGAATAGAAGGCCATAGCTCAGGCAGAAGGCCAAACTTAGACGACGTAGAGAACGACTTGTCAAGCATGTCAATAAGGAAAAAATACGGAGAGTCTGATGTCAAGTGCATTAGGGAGAATGACCCCAAACTAGGCAGAAACTTCACATCAGTAGCTGACTGCGATGACGATATGTGTCACATATCCTGACCACGGCATAAACTAAAAAGACATACCGTAATCTCGCTAATAACGTCAAAGGCATAGAACTGGAGAAACTGGGGCAAGGAAACATGGGTCTTTTTATTTGCGAACTTAAGCATCTCCTCACGGAGAACTGTATTCTGATGATCTACAGCGTATTCATACGATATCAGCGTTGTCATGGAGTAGAGAGAGGCCATAGACCGACGAGACTTGGCATGCGCCTTCGTATCCCTAAAGCTGAAAAGTGTCTGGTTATGGGGCTCAGAGAATGCCTCGTAGCGACTTGGGAAAAGTCTTAGTCATTGAGTAAATGGTTTTAACCGACTTGAGCGTGTTGAACTCATACTTATTCGGTGCGGTCCGAACGACAGGACCCAGGGGGATATCAGTATCTAAACCATAAAGAGAAAGGGGCATATCGTCCGGCGTGAGCTGGATGTTCAAGCTTACCATATTTCTCATGTAGGTGAATGGCCCTCTGGTTGAATTTACCCTTGCTGACCATGACTAATTCCCACAACCGGGTGGTCCTTGCCAGCCAAGGACCTGGGATAGCACGTAATGGTGAGAAGAAGAAGGTCTACATCACACTTATTACCAGCAGTCCTAAAATTATCCCGCTACTCACGAAGAGTAGGGTACCCCGAGGAAAGTCGCTCGCAAGGAAAGTGTATGACGACATGATGGTAGGGCTGTCTTTGAAACCACAGCTTCTGCGTGAGAAATGTGATCTCTATTTCTTGGATTCTTGGGACTGTGTCCTATCTACATGAGGATATTATACATCAAACTAGATGCGGAGAGTCCGGAGTCGGATTAATCTCTGGGTTCGAAGCGGGACAATGAATTCTCATGTATTCGTTAGTTACCGAGATACATGTTAGAAAGCGGGCATTCGGGGTTAAGAATATGCGAGCCCTTGTAAATGCCTATCTTTCGAGGACCGTGGGCCTCTAGTATCTAGTAGTGTAGTGGGGATTCAGGTGACAATTATTGGAGGGGGCTGGTTCTCATTTAATGCAAGACCTTGGGTTGGCGTGCCTACACATTAGTTTGCATGCAGTATCGCGAATCACGATGTGAAAATGAAATTTCAAAATTTCGAAATTCCTGAAATTTGGCCTCTTGAAATGAAATTTGAAATAGACAATTGACACTAATTTTGCCCATAGTGGTGCTAAAACAGCCTCCTTCATGGCTGGTGGATACTGGGCCAAGGTCCTCAAAGCTATTAAGTAAAATAAGTTAAGCTACCATCCATATATCATAATCCAGGTAAATAACTAGATTCTGTAAGGATAATAATTATATCTTCCTAAGTTATAGCTACTTATTAATATATTCTTTTAGTACTACTAATTCTTTTTCTAATATAGAATAGATTAGAGTTGCATAACCAAACCACTAAAATCAAATCTGACCCTCACTAAACTCACAGCAGTGAGGGTTCGGTTCCTAGCCTAGGGAATCGCTTCGGTTTTGGTTTAGGTAGGGTGAAACTGATTCGAGTTCAGGTTAAACCATCGGTTTCGATTTTTAAGGTTTTATCAGATTCGACTAACCAACCCTCACTGTTTTAGATAGAAATCACTAATTTCTAGGATATATCTAATAATTTTGATATCAGCAGATAGCCTTAGATTTAGGCTATCTAAATATATAAATATTAATTCAAAATACCTAGTGGTTGATGAGATATAAGGGAATAATTATTTCTGTCATAGGTTGGTATAAAAGTAGTGGTGGTTTATATATATATGTATACCAACCTTCAATAATCACAATAATCTGAAGATGATTTTAACCACTACCCATTCAGCCCTATAGATATTGAATTAATATTTTAAATATAGATTATTATGATGATAAATACTATTTATTTTATATAAAAATATTAATTTTCTATAGGTATAGTAATAGTATGGTAGATAG